TACCTGTCCATGCCTCTTCTGCGACCTTGCCACCCAATGATGCTCGAGGTGATCTATTGATGAGATAGCATGTCATATTCACAACCTCTGCCCAGAAACTCTTAGGAAGCCCTGCATTCAGTCTCAAGCATCTTGCTCTTTCAGTTAAGGACCTATTCATCCTTTCTGCTACACTATTTTGCTGTGGTGTCTTCCGCACTGAAAAATGCCTCTGAATCGCATGCTCCTCACAGAACTTCTGAAACTGTGAATCAGTGTACTCTGTGCCATTTCGGACCTCAAATACTTGATCTTTTTGCCAGTTTGGTTCTCCACCTCAGCTTTCCACAGCTTGAATTTAGAGAAGACTTCAGATTTCTGCTTCAAGAAATACACCCAAACTTTCCTGGAGAAATCATCAATAAAGGTAATGAAATATTGAGATCCTCCTAATGACAACTCCCTAGTAGGGCCCCATACATCAGAATGCACATAATCAAGAATTGCTTCAGTTTTGTGCTTTCAAAGAATACATAACTTACAAAGATCGAGCTTGCAGCTTTTAACCCCATGCAATAGGTTTCTTCTATGCAATTCCGCCATCCCACGTTCACTGAGATCGTCCAGACGCATATGCCATAACTTTGTACTGTCGCCATAACATTATCTGACTCCACAGAATGAACTCCACCTACAACTGTACTCCCTAACAGTCTGTAGATATTACCTGCAGTCAACTTTCCTTTCATCACCGTCAGTGCACCCTTAACAATTCTGATGGTTTCCCTATCCTCATCAGTCTTAGGAATAAAACCATTTCTGTGTAGAGTGCCCAAGGAAATCAAATTCTTCTTCAGATCTGGAATATGTCTGACATCACATAACGTTCTAATTGTGCCATCATACATCTGAATTCTGACTTCTCCATTGCCAACTATATTGCAACATCTATCATCACCCAAACAGACTGTGCCAGAATTTATTGACCTGTATGAACTAAACCATTCCCTGTTAGGTGTTATGTGATAAGAGCACCCTGAATCAAGAATCCATGCATCCGTGAACTGAGTTGATGAAATTGAGAGCATATCGCCATCACTGCGATCGACATTTTCACTCTGCACCACATTTACAGACTTCGATGAAGTATCACCTTTCTCCCCAGTCTGCTTCTTCAGCTTTGGACAATCTGG